CTTCAGAGCGCGAATCCCACAACACGCAGCCTTCGCTCCTGGCTTCTTGGAGTTACGGTGGCAGGGGCCAGCTGAAGGCTATTCCACTGACCAAGGCTGCCTAGCCATTCACCCACACGTGGACAGCAGGCTGTGCCCACTTCATGGCTCTCATGCATAGAGCTGGCCCACCCCCAGGACAGGAATGAGCCAGAGGAGCTGTCCCTTGCTTAGGGAACACCAATCCTGCACCTACATTTTGATTAAGTCCTATTTGTGGGTTGGCTCGGGAAGACCCTGCCCTCTGGGTGGGAAAGGCACGGCTTTGTTGACGAGAGGCAGGCAGGGCCCAGAGACTCGAGCCCCACCCAAGCCCATCTTCCTGATGTTCAGTCTCCCGTGAGCCTGGGGTTGAATGACACCAAGAGGCCAGGGGTCAGGAAGGACCCTGGCCATGGCAAAGCCTGCTGACCTCGCCACGGGACCCTCCCAGGTGCCCCAGAGGCCCGGGACCAGCATGCCTGCTCCCTCCCCACTGCCTCGAGGAGGCTCAGGGCTGAGTGAAGGCCCTGGAGCTGGCCCAGCCTCTGCCCAGCCTGTGGCAGCAGAGGGGCTGCTGAGCCCACCCCTCAGTTCTCCTCCTGTACCATGGCAGTAACAATACCTGTGCAGGGGCAGGTGCTGGGGCCATGGCGCCACATGCTGGGCCTTCCACCAGGTGGGATGGCAGGGCCCATGAGCAAAAACCCGCTCTGGGGAGCAAGCGACCAAGTACATGGCGGAGGAACAAAGCTGGCTCTGTGTGCTGCACCGGGCCAGGGATGAGCTGGGAACAGGTGGCCCTGGCCCATGTGTGGCCTTGTTGACTACTTGGAGGCTTGGTGCCCCCACGGCTGCACACTAGGTCCAGGAAGTAGACGGCCTGCCTGCAGTCCCTTGGCACCCTCCCCTGCCAGCCTGGTCCCTGCAGCCTGGCCTCAGAGGGCCGGAGCTCCAAGGCTGGGCTGGGCTGGAGACCAGGCCGCCTGCCCTAGCCCGAGACCACGCTCCATCCTGGTCTGCACCCGCTAAAATACATGATAAAGGGAGGAGGACCAGGCAGAGGTGAAGGGGGGGGAAATGAAATGGTTCTGCCTGACTCTTCCTCCCAAGGCCTCATACAGGGAGGAGGAAAAGGGGCTGGGCCACTCTTCCCTGGCCCCGTGCCTCAGACACCGGCTGCCTGCCCCCCAGGTGACGATTTGGCCACCCGTCCACAGATAGGGCCATCCAGTCCCTGGGTGCACCTGCGGGCTGGAGACCTTAAAGCAGGTTCTGCAAAGATGGAGCTTTGGCCCGTTCCTGCACTTGAAGCTGGAGCCCGGCCTCCTCTGTGTGTCCTGGAGAGCTGTGGGAGACACCCACCCACTGGCACGTCCTGCCCCCCAAGGGCACCCAGGCAGGTGGCCAGGGGTGGCCTGTGGGCAGCTCGGGCCTTCACCCCACCAAAAAGCCTTGAGACGGACATTTCCCATGAGGCCTGAGGTGCTGGCCATGCCGCTCCAAAAGGTGTGACGTGCGGCCTGTGGAGAAGCCAAGCCCCAGGGCTGGACACAGCTCCAGGGCAGCACTGTTGTCCAACACATGAGGCCCCGGTGTGGTCAGAGGAGCCAAGAGTCAGTCAGGGCCCCCGCTCCCGTAGGGCTGGCCTCCGGGGAGCCAGGCAGGGCAAAGCCACTGATGAACGTGAGGTCCTTACATGGACCTCCCTGTGTGGACCCGGGCCCTCAGACTGGCCTACCTGGAAGCAGGGTGGGTGCCGAGACACCTGGTGAGCTCGGGTCCTGGTGGGGTCAGACGGGCTCCTGGTCCAGTGTGTCCAGTGCCCTCTGAGGACAGCAGGTGAAGACAGACCCAGGGAGAAGCCACATGCGGTGGGGGCAGGCCAAGTGACGCGATGCCCATGAGGCCATGCCAAGCCTCACTGACCCCCCCACTCACCCAGGAGGACGACGCGGGATCCCTTCTCCTCACCAGGCCCTGGCCACAACTCAGAGTGCAGGAACAGTGGGGCTCCCTGGCCCAGCTGGGTGCTGGAAAGTCTGGACACAAGGTGGGCTTTCCCTGGGGTCCGACTCGGCCGGCACAGCTGTTTCGGAGTCAGAAAGCCGGGCGCTGGAGGCGAGCAGGCACCGAAGCGTCTCCCTCCAGCCCCTTCTCAGAGGCGAAGGAGA